GTATAATGAACAGTACAGAGCATAATAGATAAATAAAAAAAGGACAAAAAGAAGAAAAATGGAGAAAATTATTTTTTCTATTTTTGTCTTTTTCCTATTTTCATTGTTCTGCAATTTTTCCATGCTTATCCACATTTAAAAAAGTAAATTTTCGGACAATTTGCCCAGGAAAAAAACTTTTTTCTGGAATGTCATACGTTAGCATTGCTGTTGTTTTTATATTAAGATATTAACACAAAACAAATACTTAAGAATTTTTTAATCCTTAGTTCTGGAAACATTTACATTAAAATATGTATTTTTTAAAATAAATACAATCAAGATTGAAACCAATCTGCAATTTTTGTGTCATCATATAACCTGGTATTTAAAAAGGTAGATTTTGTGACAATTTGTCTGTGAAAAAAAATAAAACGAGAATTTTTTAATTCAATTCATAAATATTTCATAAATTGCAGAGAGTAATTCTTGGCATAGCTTCATACATCTAAACATTTCTTCATGTCATAAGTGGCTGAAGTTGTATAGCGACACTTTTCTTATCTACAAAGTATTTGTGCAGCAAACAGCACGATTGATGAGTGCTTCTTTAGGTTTCTTCCTTATCATTAGAAGTCAGAATCGTTCACAATTTTCCCATTATTCAGTAGCCAGATTAAGCAAACTAGAATAGAAGCTTAATACTCAAATTTATATCATGTTTATCCTCAAGCAATGTTGTGTATTTTAATAACAATAAGAATAAATAGATATCGTGGTCTCCTCGCTGTAACAAAGCTTTATTGAACGAAACTTCCTGAAGCAAACTGCTTTATTTTCGTAGATTATGCTTAAAGACTTTAGTTCTTATTGGAGAGCATTTTTTTCAACGCATAAATTTCGTCATTAAGAAATATGTATAAATTTGGGAGGAAGAATTACTTGATGTATTAATTTACGTAACTTATTACAGTGCCAGGAAAATTATAAACCAATAGTTGTATTATCTTTGACAAGAGCTTTAGTAGAAGAATTAAGAAGCACTCATATCAAATTAAGGTGTGATTGATTATTGAACTAATAAAAGATACGAACTTTCTTCTTCTTGTTAATGCACAGCAGCCTATTACAAGTCTAGGACGCCTTAAAGACAGCGGTTCCGATCAGACGCTATGGTCTACTAACAATTGATCTTTAATTACTTATGATGCATCAGATCTAAAAAAGGTTAATTTTTATTGATTATATCCAACTCTAAGATTACCTCTTATACCTTAAAATTGAGGAGATAGATAGGACCTTAAAAGCTATTTTTTATTTTTTATATCTTATTTTATGTATAAAGTTACTTCTAGTAATAGAGAAAATGCGCAAAAAGTAAATATAAAATTAAAGGGACCAAATTGCCAAACTTTTGATCACTCAATTTCTGACTAAACTATTAAAGTTATAGTTTCCTGATTGTGGAAACCCCCGCCCTGTCTTTAGAGTTCAGCATTTAAATCCATCGGAAAAAGCTCTCTTTGTTCTTAAAGTGAATTTTTATGCATTATTTTGCAACTTAAAATATCATCTTCATAAAGATATTTACATATTCTGGCTAATTGGATTTCTAAATCGCCGCATTGTAGTGCCCTGAAAATCAGATCATTAGATTAAAAGACTCTATAGTGTTTCGTTTTCTTTTATTTTCTTGCTCACAGTGCATTATTTTCTACTCCATTTTGTTTTTTTTCTTCATAAGCTTACTTTAGAAAAAAAATGGAAGACGGAATTTTTGTAACCACAAAATTATTCTTAGAGGTAGGTTTTGTTACGTTTCTAGGAAATTTTGTTCATTCTTGTGCGATGTCCAATACTTTCTTCATTCCTTCTCCTTATTTTTATTTTTTCTTTAACAAATTTTTAAAGAAATCAGTTTTTAAATCTTTCTCTTATGGACATTCCCATACGTATTTCTTAGACGAACATTTAAATAAAAATAATATATATGAAGTGTGTACATGGATCTCATTTTAAGTATAAACATCAGGTATAGGGATATTTTGCAAAGTTGTTTCTTTTTTACTTTTTGCAATACATTCTAACGTATTGTAGCACTATTACTGAAAGAAAATTATTTACATTAATTAAACAAGAACGTAAAAGCATATAATTTGATGAACAGTATTTGACATTTATATTTTTTAAGTTCTAATTTGAAGTTTCCTTAATGCATACTCTATTTTAGATATTATTCACTCCGAAAATAATTACCAAGAAATAATAAGGAATTTGAGAACTACTTATAAAAGGCAAACTTTGTTTGCTCGTTTAAAAGTTGTTATCTCTACTATTCAGGGAAATATTGTTTGTTGGCTGGAAATTAATAGTCTGTTCTTTAAATATACGTTATTAAGCTAATCGGAAACTGTTATGTTGCTTATAGCATTTATATGAATTTTTAGTTTTGTTTTAAAACAAGAAAAATATTTTTCATTAGATATTTCTCTTAGAATAGTTATAGAAAAATAACATTTTATCTAAATTTTAATTGGATACATTGAATATTCAAAATGTTGTTACAATTATAATTATCTTAATTATAGATTTAGTTTAAATCTCTTTTTACTATTATTGTATAAGAATAAATTATTAAAACATAAACCGAAAAAACTCCAGTTGTTGTACGCAACTTTTGATAAGCTCACTACATGCAGAGAAAAAAAATCTGGTAAAATTACTAAACTGAACGATAATTTACATTTTTGTTAAAATCAAACAAACATAATACTGCTTAATAAAATCAAGATAAACGGTATTTAAACCATTCATTTGGTAATTTTTCCGTTCATATGATAACGGTTAACCGGAAATTCTGGTTTTCAAAATTATAGTTCTTATTCAACACATTTAGTAAAATATACAAAACTGAAGGCAAAATTCTACCAAATAAAAGGTGTTTATGCCATGCTCTAAGGCATCATTAAAAAATTACCATTTATAACTTACTATAAAACAATATTTCATTGCTAATTTTACC